AATAACCTGACCCTAGACATTGTCAGCCTAGCTGCAAAGGAGGCTGGAAGCATGGCCTCTTTCCAAGCCAGCCTAACTGCAGTCCAGAGAATAACAATGAGCCAAAGTGAAATGTGTAGAATGTCGGGGACAGTACTGTCATGGAGGAAGAGAAAGCAGGGGGAAGGGTGAACCCCTGGGGATTGCTAGTGCAGCTTTAGTTCAGTGAGTAGCATCACCCAGCAAATGACAGCTGAGGGAGTGAACTGCATGGCCATGTGGGAAGAGCAGACAGGGGCAATGACAGATAGGGAAGATTTAGGAGGCGTAGTAGTCATTTTGCTCCTTGTTAAGACCCAGTGCCTCACAAAATGCAGCTTAAGGGAGGCAGTGTTTATTTGGGGTCATGGCCCGGGATACAGTCCGTCATGGTGCCAAAGACATGGCAGTGGGACCAGCTCCTGCCAGTGGCAACATGAGACTGCTTGTTCACATCTCGGTGAATCAGGAAGAGAGAGGGATACTGGTGTTCAATTGGCTCTCTCCTTTACCCTTTTAAACCCCACCACATGGAATGATACTGCCCACGATCAGAGTGGGTCTTCCTCAATCTTCTCTTCAGACATCCTCACATGTTTGTACCTCACTAATGTCCTAAATGTTTCTTAATTCAGAAATAAGATGACAGTCCAAATTAGCCATCACATGAGAGAAATGGATTTTTCTTTAGGAGAGATGGCCATGGTTGTAATGAGGAGCCCATCTGGGTCTGTTGAGCTCTAATGTACCTCATACCCATGGAGACAGCTAGCAACCACCATCTATGTGAACCTGAGATGTGAGCCATATGAACCTGGAGCTCAGAAAAAGCAGCCCAGAAGTCAGACAGCCATGGGGTTCAGTGATCTGCTTCTCTGTCTAGTTTAAAGTGTAAAGTCTCAACTTCACAGGGGTTCAGGGCCTGCAGAATAAGCTCCTCTTGTTCTACCCTGGAGGAAACATACTCAGGAAGGAGAAAGGTTTGTTAATGCCCGAGTGCTAAGTGGAGGAATTCCCTGTATTTTTGACCCCAGTTCTCTCCTTTCCCAGCCAGCCCTGTCTGAGCAAGGCCCCTTGTTTGGAAAGTACTCTGGATTGAAGGAAGGAACTTTCGTTTTTAAAGATGAAGTACATGGAAGCCGAAGAGGTACAGGCAGGATGGTGCAGAGAACGGAGAGTGCTGGAGGCTGGAAGCCCAGGCTGGGGCCAGGTGTGGGCTTGGCTCTTCCAGCAGCTGGCTCTGCATGTCTGTGGCCATCCGTCCTTCTCACTGAGCCCTTTTCAGGTTCAGTCATCTCCAGCCTGAAAAGTCACCTTCTCTTCCTTCCTGGTGACACCCAAGCATTATTTGGTGCCCCATGACTGCCACACCCATTCCCCATTCTTAGAGGCTACTTGGCAGATTCCAAGGTCCTCCCCTCCCCATGAAGCGGATTGGCTGAGCTGCTTATGTGAAACCAGTTCTGGCGAGGAGTGGGCTGGTTCACCCAAGTCTTGGGATGCTGCCCCTGGCTGTTTTTCTCAACAGAAGAGAGCAGGCCTTTGCATTTCATCTAATTTTACCTATTAATGTGTCTAATTCCTCACAGTCATTCATTGTGTTTGGTACTCTTAGGGTGGGGCATGTTGCTGGGGGACAGAGCACGTGTTTGACAGCTATTGATGGCTCCACCAGGCAGCAGGGCAGTACTTTGGCTGGTTTGTACCTCATTGGTCTTTTGAGGAATCCTTGACCCATCTCAGCCACAGCTTAAGAGAAGAACCCTTTCATATGGCTAATGAAGCCTCCTCTCCCCTCCCCCCTTTTGGACTTTAAAGTAAAAAGAATTGTAAGTAAATGGACTTTTTAAAGCAGGAACTTGTGTGAAGGAGTTTGGGGGCTGTTCTGAGGACTGGTTGATACTGAGCACTGGCTTCCACGGCTTCTGTAACCTCTAGACTGTGTCAGTACCACTGTGTAAAATGAGGGAAGCCGACAACAATAGCATTCCCACAGAGGGATGACTTGCCGTGAGTGTCACCTTATATATGTCCATACAAGCTGGAATGGAGCACGAGGTCCAGTGAGGACTCAAAAGCGATTGGAATCACATAGGTGCCTCATCTCCCAACATGTCCCAGATGGACAGATACTGATTCTGTGTGTGTGTGTGTGTGTGTGTGTGTGTGTGTGTGTGTGTGTGTGTGTGCAAGTTTCTTGTTCATCTTTCAATGTCCTGGGAAAATAGAGAAGGGACATGTTGACTGCACTTTTCTTTAAAATTGGTGTTCCTGTGGTAAACTGATGTCACTGACTTCACAGTGGTCTAGGTAGTGCCTTGCCTTGAAATCTTTCTCTCGCCAAGACCTCTATGTTTAGAGAAAATAAATCCTGAATTGAAAACTACCAAATCAAAAATAGAACCGTCACTTCAGGGACCCTTTTATAAGTTAGAGATAGTTCATTTTATGTTAAGGCAAGTGTGTTAACTAACACCCATTGTGGCTTGCTTATTTATTTATTTATTTATTTTTGAGGCTTAGTCTCACCAGGAATCCCAGGCTGGCCTTGAACTTGATATTTTCCTAACTCAGCCTCCCAAGTCCTGAGATTACAGTTAGGTACTAAAACACCCCACTTCTTTGGAAATGACTTTTAAAACCAATGGCACCAGAAACTAGAGCAGTGGCTTAGTGGAAACAGAGTACCAGTTGCTTTTCCAGAGGAACTGGGTTCAATCCCCAGCAGTCACATGGTGGCTCATGACCATCTCCAGGCTACCCAACTCCCTCTTTAGCCTCCAAAGGTGCTGCATACTCACGGTGATCAGACATGAATGCAGGCGAATACCCATGTGCTCCAAATAGTGAACTAAAGGCATGTATTTCCATTCCAGCCTGTAGCCCATTCTGTGCTAATTTGAGAAAAAAAGAACCAGACCACAGGGGCTCTCTAACCCAGATCTTTGGACTTCAGAATATCCCATACAGTATCAGTTGATGAGCTTAACTTAATAGTTACCATCTAGAAACCATGAACACATCAGCTCCTATCATAGAATATGTCTGGCTTTGATGGTAGAATCATGTCAGGATCCCACATGAGACGCTGGTGCAGGCCACGAAGTGCCAGGACCCTGTGTGACCACAGCCCAGGGCTGGGTCTCGGGTGACATAATGCCCTGACTTCCATAGTGTGTCTTGCCTGCCTCCCCACACGGCAACAGCCACATGGGTATCTCCAGGAAATGCATTAACCACGATTACTGCCTCAGAGACCAGGGCCACTCCTTTCCCCTGAAGTTGTCCCCCGAAGCAACTTAAGCTCAGTCTGCTTTAAACTGCAGACATTCTAATTCCAATTGAATTTTAAAATATTATATACCAATTGAAGGGGTCCGAGAATGCCACCCCAACGGACAGGCCTCTGGCTAACCACCCTGGTATGCTGGTTATTTCAGTTAAAGACATGGGGTTCGCTGTTGTAGATGCATCTAACAGGAGCAAAGTTGACTTAACTTCTCCCCAGAGATTAAACTCAGGCCAGCCAGGGAGGCAAAGATGTCACTGCGGTGAGCTGACTTGGTCACTAGGTAGTCTGCTCTTGGTCACGTGGTAGTCCCATGCGGTTCCCCAGGAGCATCACTCAAACTATTGTCTGGCCTCTGGGTCCATTCTCTCCATTCAGTGATGATCCACCTCTTCTAAGAAAAGAAAAGGGAGAAGGAAAAGAGAAGCCTATCCTCTTCTCTGTGTCCCTACAAAGATGGGCATAAGCTGGGTTTGGTAGTACAGACCTGTAATCATACAGTTGGGAGGCTGCGGGCAGGAGAGTGGAAGGTTCAAGGCCTGCCTGGGCAACTTTGTGTATTGAAATAAAAAGTAAAAGAAATCCAAGGTTCTGGGGAGATGGCTTGGTGGTCAGAGTGTTTCTGCACAAGCATGGGGTCTGGGGTTGGAACCACCCATGAAAAGGCCAGATGAGGGGCAGAGGGTTCACTCATATGCACGCACGCACACGTACACACACACACACACACACACACACACACATACACACACACACACACACACATACACACACACACACACACACATACACACACACACACACACACATGCACACACACACGCACGCACGCACGCACGCGCGCACACACACACACACACACACACACACATACACGAGAGAGAGGGGGGGGTGACACACGAGAGGAGCTGAGGGAGGACTGTGAATGTTTAGAGCTAGGGATGGGATGTAGCTCAGTGACAGACCTCTTGTCTGTCCCCAAGGTTCCATCATTAGGACTGAAAAAGGTGGGCACCTCTAGGCATATGAATCTCCTGAATTACCTACCTCAATTCCCTGAGCATATAAATACACGTGTGTGTCCTTTTCTCCTTTTAATCCGTGTATTGTCAGCTCCTGGCAGTAAACAGGTGAGCAGACAGAAGGAAAATCCACTCACTCCAATACTGTGGTGTGCTAAGCCCTGGGACATTTAATGATGCTATAGAGGTCAAGATGACCATCCAGCTTTCTGCTTCCCTGGGCCAAGGGCAGGGTTAGGAACCAAACCATGTGTTGAGGGCAGTATGTCCTCAGTGTTGTGGGAGCAATGGGTGACATACAGGGACATTTGGGTGTGCAAGGTGCAGGTATAACAAGAAAGAGGATGGGGTACTCGAACACCTTCAGACCTCTCAAGTTGCTTTCTCCACTTTTGTTTTTATCCTGTGGAAGCAATTGCTGATGATAGCCACTAGCTTCAGTGTGTTATGTCCGGCCTGTAGCCCACAGGCTGGGCATAGCCAAGAATAACAATGAATGGGGTCCAAAAAAAAATCCATAAACTTGCTTAGTGACTAGATTACATAGTTCTGGAATGTAACTTGATGGGTGACAAAACAGTGTCACAATGAGCTAAGGGTGGATGTGCTGGAAGCATTCCGAGCCCAGGTTGGCAGAAGGTGTGCTCACTGTCCCTTCCTGTCACTTTCAGGTACCAGCAAGGTGAACCTTGTGAAGATCTCGTCCACAGCCTCCAGCCCTCGGGACACAGCCCTGGCTGCCGTCATCTGCAGTGCTCTGGCCACCGTGCTGCTAGCCCTGCTCATCCTGTGTGTCATCTACTGCAAGAGACAGTTCATGGAGAAAAAGCCCAGCTGTAAGTCGTCCCCCCCGCCCCCCATCTTACTGTGAAGTGAGCTTGCTAGCATTGTTACACAAGGGTTCACAAGAGACCTAGCTAAGACAAGCCTCAGCAGCTATTTAGGATGCAAGGCAGATAAAAGCAGGCCTCTGCAGGGATTTCTGGGCCTCATAGGGATGCTGACAAGGCTGTGATGTCCTAAGACTACAAGGCAAAACTGAAAATTGCCTATACCCCACATTCTTAACAGGTTATTTTAAACTGTGTCTCTGTATAAGAAGGGCTAGGCAGTCCTCAGCTTGCCATTATTCAGCCTCACAAGTTTTCAATGTTATGATGGTCTGACAGCATATCCATTAAGCTGCTCTGCTTCTTCTCGCTTTCAGCCCATTTGCAGTAAATTACGTGTGCACTGTTGTGAAACGGGCTAGGCTGTAGCTTGGTGGTAGAGCACTTGCCTAACATGTGCAAGGCCCTGGGGTTTAATCCACAAGGCAGCTCACAAAGTGTCTGCAAGTCCGTCCCCAGGGCATCTGATGACCTCTTCTCACCTCCATGGGCACCAGGCATGCATGTGGCTCACAGATATACATGTAGGCAAAATACCCTTACACATAAAATAATAAGAAATATTTTAAGTATGTGTGTGCAAGTGTGATGACACAGGCTTTGTATTGATTGATTTTGCTCACTGTAGGCTAGCAGAAGTTTATGATCCAGGTTATGTTTTTCTAGACTAAGCACTAATGTTTGGAAGATTGGCATATAGTGTCTTCATTTTACAATGAGTGTCTTGGGGTAAGCAGGGGTATATAGAATAATAGTGTGGACTCGTTAAAAATACAAAATGCCAGGCTTCTTATGGAGAAGTGTTGACCGTGGGTCTCTCCTTTCCCCTAGGGTCTCTGCGGTCACAGGACATTCAGTACAATGGCTCTGAGCTGTCATGTTTTGACCAGCCTCGACTCCACCACTGCGCCCACAGACCATGCTGTCAGTGTCACCGGGACTCAGCCCAGACATATGGTGAGTTGGGTCATGAAGGGCCCGGAGGAGCCAGGAGTGTAGAATGGGGCTGCAAAACGGGGCATCGCCAAGTCCAGCCCTCATTCTTCAGAGTGGGTGGCAGCCGGTCACAGTCATGGCTGATCCATGGCAGTGACACCCCTCCACATTGGTCTGGGTGTTTCAGGTCTCTTCAGTATTAAAAAATCAGGACTATCCACAGAACTCGGGATCATGTTAGCAGCTCAGCCTTCCTCATTTAGAGTCGGTTTCACTTGCAGTCACTTCTGCCTGCTGTGTAGAGGTGGGGCTGACATCCTTGTGTATTAGTCAGGGTTTCTATTGTTGTGTTGAAACACCATGACCAAAACAGCTTTAGAGGAAAGGTTTCATTTGGCTTACATATCCAGGGCTACAATCCATCAAGGGAAGTCAAGGTAGAAACTCAAACAGGATATAAACCTGGAGGTAGAAGCTGATACAGAGACCATGGATGGATGGGTGCTGCTTACTGGCTTGCTCCTCATGACTTGTTCAGCCTGCTTTCTTATAGAACAGCCAGCCCAGGTATGGCTCCACCCACAATGGGCTGTACCACCCCCCCCCCATCAATCACTAATTAAGAAAATGCCCTACAGGCTTGCCTACAGCCCCATCTTCTGGAGACATTTTCTCAAGTGAGACTCCCTCCTCTCATGACTAGCTTGTGTCAAGTTGACATAAAACTAACCAGTACACCTGGATTACCTGGCCAATTCAAACTGAACACTAGTGTGACTGGTTTCAATGACTTCTGTGAGGAAGAGAGAAGAGAAAGGTCCAGGGTCCAGATATGCCTGCCTCTTGATCCATTGCTGGAAATAGTCATTAAGGAGAGTTGACACAGGTGGAAATGTGTCTCTGACCCAGCCAGGCAGAGGTGACATGACTTCCTCTGCCCCCATCTCGTTGGCATTGACCAGAGGTTTCTACTGTATGTCCAATCCCAGGCCTCAGCAAGGTGACCTCCTACACATAAATCCTTCATGGCTAACAGTACTTCTGGCGTCAGTCTGGCCCAGTAGCCCTCTCTATTGTCCTGAGTTTGGTTTGTCTGAGTATAGTGCCTATGACAGTACCTAGTCATCTCTTGGACACTATTATCTGCTCTAGTTACTCATATTCCAGGCTGGTTAGAGTGGCCTCTTGGAATCACCCAGTGTCTCTTGGTAATGTTGCAGAATGGACCATCTTAGTCCTGTATGTCACACACAGAATGAGAAGAGAATGTCTCACCCATATCCCCACTCCCTCCTTCCTGGAAGGTCTCCTTGTACAGCCCAGGCTGACCTAAGTCCTCCAGCCTGCTTCAGTCTTGATATTGATGTTCAATTGTATCTCTGTATCTGACATTTTCATTCCTTATTCTGACATTTCATTCCTTATTCCAAATACTCACCCAAAGGGGATCTGCTACCTTTCCAAGAGGCCCAAGGCTTAACTGGTATGAACAAGAAAGTTCAGGAAGAAAGTCCTGTGTCTCACACTTGTCTGCCTCTCTCAGGGCCTGTTCACCTGATTCCATCCTTGTGCTGTGAGGAGGCCCGCAGCTCTGCTCGCACTGCCCTTGGCTGTGGGCTGCATTCTTCGGCTACCCTTCAGGAGAGGTAACTGCTCTTAGTCAACAATGTCATAAGCCTGTTTGCAATCTGCTTCTAGATTATCAACAACTCCCAGGAAACTGAGGGAAGAGATTCCTCTGCAGGGATTGCAGGGCCTGGGGTTGCTGATAAACCAGTACTATCTTCTGGTACTTTCTTCCCCACCCACTTCATTGTGTCTTACCTTCATAATATTTCTCTATTTTCACAAGATTTTATTTTAAAGCATATATGTGTGTTTCTGTGTGTAAGTATATACATCAATACAGGTGCCCTCAGAGGGCAAAGGCATCACCTCCCCCTGGAGCTGGAGTTACAGGTGGCTGTGAGTCTCCCAATGTGGGTGCTGGGAATTGAACTCAGGTCCTCAGGAGAGGTGTGCACATGGGCTTAGCTGCTGAGTCATCTCTCCGGCCTCTATTCGGATACACTTACACTAATTAGAAGTATGTATAAGAAGCACTTTTAAGGTCAATGGAGTAGCTGCAGTTGCCACACTGAAGCAAATTTAAAACAATAGTTAGCACTGGAATTCTCACTATGTTGGTATTGCAGCCATAGAGTTAAAAATTATAACTGCATTGCTGTTCTGTAATGGTGGCTTTTGTCACTACACAATACTTACTAACCTTCTTATGTGTGTTCAGAAATGCTGCTTCAGTGGGGGACACCATGCCAGCTTTCTTCGGGTCTGTCTCCAGGTCCATCTGCGGTGAGTTTTCTGATGGCTGGCCTCTGATACGGAATCCTGTGGAAGGCGACATCTCTCTTTGTGACTCGTATCCTGAACTCATTGGAGAAGATATCAACTCCCTCAATCCAGAAAACGAAAGCTCAACATCTCTGGATTCCAGTGGCGGTCAGGATCTGGCTGGGACAGCTGCTCCAGATTCTTCTGGAAATTTCACAGAAGCTACTGACTCGCCTAGATATGGTGATACAGTCTGGGAACAGACCCTAGCTCAGGGTGCCCAGAGGACTCCAAGCCAAGGAGGTTGGGAAGGCAGTGGCAACTTGAGCTTAGCTACACCTACGTCCTTCCAGGTAAGACAATGATGGGTATCAGAGTGTGCTACACCGGAGGGATCCAAACTGTTCCCACTGTGAAATCTGGGGAGGTAGATGAGAGATGGCTGTGTTTTGTTATTTCTCATACATTACAGAAGACTGTTTTAAAGTAAATGTCTTGTTTTCCCTAACAAACAGAACCATATTATGAGAACACAAAGGACACTCACGTGGAGTGCTTTCTGACAAAGAGGTGGCTAGTTATGGATGGCCATGGGCCCCCATCTTCGCTATTGTCAAGGCTTGACATTTCTGGGCATTTATTCACCATCAGCTTAGACAGAAATGAAGTCTCTGACTCCTCTTTCCCTCCTATGCCAGAGCCACTGTCACCTTCTTGACTGCGTTGACTCAATGTTCAGTCTGGTGAGAAACAGACTGGTGGTGGTGAGCTGGGATGGAGAGCACGGGAAGATCTCCCTGCACAGACGGTTCAAATCAGGTTCAGTGCTGGGGGTGGTCAGGAGCAGAGGAGAGTAGATGTGGGGGCTTCCTGAAGCCACAAAGCAGGGAAGTTCTCGGGAGATCTGACCCTATCTCTGCATTTTCTGGGTGAGGGTGTAACCTGGGCTAACTTTGCCTTCATGCTTATCAACGTGTCCTTAAATGATAGTGTAATCTCTCTGTAGCCAGGAGTGATGGCTTACTGGTCTTATTTTGAGCCATCCTATAATTTGTACAACTTTATTTTTTTAAGACAATGAAATCAAACAAAAAAAATTGATTTCAGCATCTTACTATTAGGAACCAAAGCATCTAGATAATTTTGTCCATTCCTTAAGTTCATTACTCGTTGACTTGATTCCACAGCATGGGCTCATTTGAAAAATCAGAGGGATCTGACTTTCTGGGAAGCAGCCCCAGGCTTACAGCACTGTGGTCTTTACCCAGTGGGAGGCTATGATTTCTGGAGCATGATGAATGTGTTTCCTGAACCAGTATCTTTACATACTCGTGTTCTTAGAAGGCCTTAAGACCACCCAGGGCCTGATGATGATGGCCCCCCTTCAGGGTGAGAAAATAGGTGTGAGAGCCACCTTTAGCCTCCATGTGTTCACATCCGTGCAGAAGGGAGCAGAGCTGAGGGATGTGGGGTGGCAGTTGTTGAGATATTTGAGAGAAAGAAACTAACCACCTGTTTTCTTGCAAGAAAAGCTTTCTTGATGGTTTTGCAATTTTATTTATTTTTTTGTTATTGGGTCAGAGAAGCACGAGTGGACATCAGGGGACAATTTGCAGGAGTCCCTATGGGATCTGGGGATTGAACTCCATGCATGGCAAGTGCTTTACCATTGAGCTATGTTGCTGGCCCTCTTGGTATTATCTATTAATGTCAACAGTGATGCTGATTATCAGGGAGATGGCTTAGCAAATAAAGGTGCTTGCCGAAGAACCTGATGACCTGAGTTTGATCCTGGGAATCTACATGGCAGAAGGAAAGAGCTGACACCTACCAATTGTTCTGACCACCAATGGCACAGCACTCCCCTCCAACACACACACACACACACACACACACACACACACACACACACACACAAAGCAATAAACAACAAACAGCTCAACAGGAAGGAACAGAACATTAGAGAAACTCTGAGAGGACCACCCAGTTTTCCAATCTGAATATGATAAAATGAGGCTGGCTTGCCTCCTGCAGTGGAGTCAACATGTTTACTATAGCATCAGTTGATCAACATATTTGGTAGGAATGTTTCCGGGCATTCAGACTTCAGAACCTCTGGTCTCTAGATAAGCTCTTTGCCTAGAAATGTTTTCCTTAGGTTTACTTATGTAACCAATGCAGATTAGTGATGAAAACGTTACCAAGGGACATTGAATGAAAACAAGGTTCTAGCCCCTTCCAGCAGCATTCAGCTGGCCGATGCCTTGTCTCTTTTTGAAGTAAGGCCACACTTTCAGTGATACAACCCCTTGTTGAGAGTTATCATTGTAAGAAGACCGTGTCTATTCCAGGGAGACCATTAAGAGCCATCCTAGTCCCTCTGTCTTTGCAAACATCTGCCAGGAATGGAAGTCTGAGGGTCTATGGCTAAGATAATCGATACAGCGGCAGTGTTCACAGGCCACCTTCATTTCTGGAGGCCACGAATAACTAATCTACAAATGTTTTAGGTGCCTTCAAATGTTTGCATGAGGTTGATGAACAAAAGAAATGGTTTTTAAGTCGTTGTGATTATTTTGGGTCACAGTGTCATCTTTCAAGTACTCAGCACATACTGGTCATCGTGTTGTTACAAAACTGTCATTTCTTTCTTGGAAGACACAGTAATGGATGCTTGAGTATGTGATACTACTCTTAGTAGCTATTTACAATCAGTTTTAGAATAACCACAAAGCAGCTTTAACATAGAAGATGCCTTTTTTTTTTTTTTAAGCCTTTTCTCTGTTGTTTTAGGATGCCTGAAGGCCATCTTCCTGAAGTGGAGGTGTGGCTGTGGACACGCCTGTGTTGAGGCTTACAGACTGAGCAGTCTTGACCTTCTATGGCTTCTGGAAGCAATAATAATCTGAACCAAGCTGGCAGCATTTCCAGCCTTTCAACCAGTTGCTTCTGAGCCAGACCAGCTGTAAGCTGAAACCCCAGTGAGAAGCAAGGAGAGACCGTAGGCGGCCGCAGGACCTGCACTTCTTCCCCAAGCAAGAACTTTAGCTGAGGGCAATTTGAAGGACCGATGGGTGGAATGTGCTGCCTGCGAAATTGTGGGAATGGTAGGACCCAGCCTGGCTCTTCCTGATGTTCATGGTGAATGAGGTTTCACGAGTCCCAGCATATAAACTTTCATAGACATTCTCTTTCAGAAACAACCCATTACCCTATGGTAAAGCTGTGGCAGATTCCTTTCTTAGATTTTAGGTGGAGCTCTGGAGATTTCTATTGAGGAAAAGCGACTTTGTCATCAGCAGAGTGGTACGCATCAGTGGTTTGAAGGAGCTTTGTAGCCCTGCCTAAATTGTAGTTTGGTGAAGTTGACTGGCCTATCTGTTATGAGCAGCTCTTTTGCTCCCCACCCCCACCCCAGTGTGTGACAGAACTGACAGGAGAGGAGGCCTGGGTTATAGAATTTGGCTGTGAATGTAGATAGACTATGGCACAAGGGGAAGAAAAGGAAAGGGCATTACCCTACTGTGCAAACCACCTACTATGCATATCCTGAAGCTTGGCTGTGCGTGCTAGGATTGCTGACTGTAGAAACGTGTTAGGTCTGCCCCTGTACTGAGCTTACAAGGCCCAGATTTCTCATATAGAAAGGAAATATTTATAAACATAGTATAATCTGCACCCAAGCTTATATGAAAGGCTTCAGCATATCCAGTGTGCTACGGAAGGGTCCTTCGTGAGAATCCAGTGTGTATTAGAACCAGATGTGGAAAAGTGTGGTTGACAGACAGTCAACAGGCTCCCTGGTGCCATGTATCTAACCAAGGCTTTGTAATACTCATGGTGTTCTTATGTGGGGGTGTTCTGTAAGGTGTTCCATATTCTTCCATGATGGCATTTCTTCCCAGACAGTCTCTAAAGCTAAGAAAGAGCTAGGACTAGTTTTTCTTTTCATCTTTACCCTATGGCTTCATTGAGCAGGATTTGCTTGGTTTCCAGTTTGAACTTATGTTATCAGATTTGGCCTCTGCCTTTCAACCCTTGTCTGTTGTTCTGTTACTTTTACACTTTAAAAAGCTAGATCTATGAGCATCAATCAGGGTGATAGAATTCACTAGCAGATCTGTTTTGAAGATGCCCTGCTTAAATCGGGCTCTTTTACCCAACCCTGAAACCAATCATTGAGATGCTGTCTTCCTAGAGTCTTTCATCTTCTGTTTCCCACTATAGTTTTCTCTCTTTGTAAGACATGAATAGAATTTAATGAGCCCCCTTCCTGTGACCTCTCTCTATTCATTATCATAGCTTTTGATGTGTGGCTTATCCATATCTATTGCTTCCCATGACATCTGTTCTTTTACCAGATGTAGGAAGAACACTGCCATAGTGTTCCATGGTAGTCCATATCTGCTTTCATGTCCACGAGGCGCCCAGTCATAACCTATTGGCATTTTGTTTGTGTGTCCCCAACCCTTATGTGAGTCTGTGTTTAGGAAAGTGATAAAATATTTAGGATTTAACCAGCTTGTAACCATGAGGATGAAAGCCGAGCTCCCCTTAATGGCCTACTCTTAATACACATGTGTGTGCCATGTTTGCAACCCAATCATCTGTGTTATGACAGAGATGATCAAAGCCAGCAGGGTTGCGTTCCTTTGTGTAACCTGAATATATTTTCCACATGCTTAGCCCTGATGGACTTCAAAGACAGACACGGGATTGGAATCGAGACTTTGGCCCCGAATCCCGAAACCTCACTTTCAATCAGAAGAGAAATGCTGAGGGTTAAAAATTGATCTCATCTGATGCTGCATTTGGAAGATCCTGGATTATCATCAGAAAGGCAGACTCCTCCCGCTGGCCACTCTAGAAACATGCAATAGTGTTTTATATTTTATACTCTAAACAAGAGGGGAAAACTGCAACCTGCACTCTCGTTATTGGAACATCTTACAAGGCTGTTTACATGGGAGCTGGAGTGCTGATGTCAGGCACTGGTCTGGAGAGGCATCTAGGCATAGGGGAAACCAGCAATACCTTTCACATGGCAGAAACAAGGACAAGATGGAGACAAGGATTTTTGGATCATTCAGGGCAAGTCATGTGTTTTCTATTTTGAATATATGGAATATATTTTGAATTGCGGGGTTTTCTACAAGAGTTACTGCTGCTGTTACTTATGATAAACACTGCTGTCTGTGTCAGAAGAAAAGGAACAGAAAAGGAAAAAAGAAACAATCATTGCTTTTAAGATAGTTTATATCAGCTTAGATATCATCACAACTGTTTTAATGCTGGAATTTATAAATTGTAAGTTATCGCTTTCCAATACAAACCTTTTTTTAATGCTTTTTAAAAATTGTGAATAAAATTGATACTTGTTATTCTTAGTCATGTGTCAAGTCAAAATAATTTTGTGGTTGTGGTTATATTTTGCTTGCTTCAAAAATTCACCTGAATGTCATGTATCATGGAGAGTGACACACAAGTCACAGTGAGGGCACACAGAGCCATTACAGAGGACAAAGAGTCATTGTAAGGGCCAAAAAGAGTTATTGTGAGGGCACATAAATCACCGCGAAGGTCACACAGTCATTGTGAAGGTTAAGCTGAGTCATTGTAAAGATCACACACAGTCATTGTGAAGGTAAAGAGGGTTGCTGGGGTTCACACAGAATAATTGCAAAGGCACAGAAGTCTTTGTAAATGTACACAAAGTTATTGTGAAGGTCACAGAAAGTCATTGTGAGCATTAAAAGGAGTCATTGTAAAGAGCATACAGTGTCATTTGTGAGGGCACTCAAAGTCATTACAAGATCACAAAAAGTCATTGTGAAGATTAAGGAGATTCATGTTGTAAGGCACACTGTCATGAAGACACATAAAATCATTGAGGTCACCAAAAGTTGTGATGGAAGGCACACAGTCAGTCATTGTGAAGTACAGTTACTATGAAGGCATACAAAGTCATCTGGAGGAAACACAAAGGATTGGGAGGGCACACAAAGTCATTGAGAGGCCATAAAAAGTCATCGTGAAAGTCACACAAAGTCGTAATAAAGATACATAAAGTTATTGTAAAAGTGACAGAGTAATTGTGAGGGCACAGAGTTATAAATGTTCATAATGAAAACCAACAGTAATTATGAATACAAAGTCATTGTGACATCACATATAGTCATTGTAAGGGCTCAAAAGTCATTGAGAGGATATACAATGTCATTGTGAAGGTCACACATTGTAGGGTATACAAAATAATTGTAATGGTCACATGGATTGTGATAGTACACAAGGTCATTTGTGAGGACATACAAGTGATTGTGAGCTCTCAAAGTCATTGTTTAGGTCACACAGAGTCATCATGAAGGAGTACAGAGTCATTGTGAGGGAACACTGAATCATTGTGAGGTTGTTATGAGGGCCCATAGCATTTCTGAGGGCACACAAGTCATTGTGAAGGTCACAAAGAGTTTTGTGAAGATTACACAGCCTCATTGTGAGGGCACACAAAGTCATTGCTTGAATCATACAGAGACATTGTGAAGGTCACAGAGATTCATTGTGAGGACACCTAAAGTCATTGTGAAGATGCTCAAAGTCATTGCTTGGATCACACAGAGTCATTGTCAAGGTCATATAAAGAGATATTGTGATAGTTACACAGTCATTGTGAAAGTCAGACATAATCATTGTGAGGGCACACAAGGTCATTGTGAGGTCACACAAGTCACTGAAGCCAAACAGAGTCCTTGTCAGAGTCACAGTCAAATTTTATTATGAGGGTATAATGTCATGATAAAGATCATAGAGATTCATTTGAGGACACTTAAATCATTGTGAAGTCACAAAAACTCATTGTGAGGGTCATACATAGTCATTGTGAAATCACACATTGTCATTGTAATGGTGAACAAAACCATTGTGAAGATAGCACAGTGTCTTTGAGAAAGATCATAATGTAATTTTGTGACTCATACAGAGTCATTGTAAGGGCACACACACTCATTGTAAAGTCACACATAGTCATTGTAAGGGTACATAAAATCATTGCTAGCATCATAGTGAGTCACTATGCATCTCACACAAAGTCATTGTTAAGGTCACACAAAATGCATGTGCATTACACAAAGAATTATGAAGACATAGCATATTGTGGGGGAATAACAAAAGTCGTTAAGGTCACACAGTGTCACCGTGTGGATACAAAGTCCTTGTGTGGGTACAAAGAGTCAGTATGAGGACACAGAAGTCATTGTGAGGCTACATGATATCATTGTAAAGATCACACAGTATCCTTGTGAGTAGCACATATAGTCATTCTGAAGGGCATACAAGTCATTTGAAGTTCATACAATGTCATTGTGAGTATCACAAAGAATCATTGTGAACATCACACAGAGTCATTGTGATGGCACACAAAGTCATTGTGAAGGTCACACTGAGGCTCTGTGAAACCACAAAGAGTCATGAGGGCACACAAATTACGGTGAAGACACATTCATTGTGAAGTCAATACAAATTCACAGTGAGGGCACTATGAGTCATTGTGAGGACATACAAAGTTACTGTGAGGGCACACAAGAGATTGTGAAATGCTCACAGAGTAATTGTGAAAGTCACAAAGTATGAGGACACACACACAGTCATTGTGAAGACACACATAGTAATTATAAGGTCACACAGTCATAATGAGTACATATAGAATCATTGTGAGGGGACACAAACTCATTGTGAAATCACTCAAGAACTCATGAAAGACACAAATTCATTGTGAAAGCACACAAAAATTACTGTGAAGGTCACACACATCATAGTGCACAAAAGTCATTGTGTAGATCACAAAGTATCATTGTGATGTCACATATAATCATTGTGAGGACACACAGTCATTGAGGGCACATACAATCATTTTCAAGATACATAAGTCATTGTGATAGCACAGAAAGTCATTGCAAATGGCTTACAACATCATTGTAAAGATCACAAAGAGTTCATTGTCAGGAGCCCAAAAAGTCATTATGATAGCACATAAGTCATTGTTAAGATCACAGAGTGTCATTGAATATCACACAGAGTTATTATGATGGCACACACACACTGTGAAGGCACACAAAGTTATTGTGGAGGTCACACAGAAATATCATGGACACATACAAATTATTCTGAGTGTAAACAAAGCCATTTTGGGGAGAATACACAAAGTATTAAGAGAGCACACAGTGTTTCTGAAAGTCATACAGAGTCATTGTGATGACCCAGAGGATCATTCTGAGGGCACAGAAGTCAATGTGATGACACACAAAAAAATGGGAAGGGTATGCAATGCCATTGTGAGGGTCAAAGAGAGTCAGTGTGAAGAGCCTACAAAAGTCATTGTGAGGTCACTCAAAGTCACAGTGAAGGTGCACAAGTAAGTATAAAAAGTCATGGGGAGTCATTAGGAATGCACAGAGACATTTTGAGGTCTAACAAAGTTATTTTTAGGATCATACAGAGTTGTGAATGTCACACAGAGTCAATGTGAAGATAAGACCACCATTGTGAGGCCACAGAGAGTCATTGGTTAAGGTCAGAAAGTCATTGTAAGAGCACACAGATTCAATGTGAGGACACACAGGCTCTTTATAAGGGCATAAAGATCACTAAATAGTCATTGTTTTGAGGACACACACAGTCATTGTGATTATCACAATGATTCATTGTTCATTTCACACAGTCATTGTGAAGGTACACAAAATTTTTGTGATAGAGTCATTGTGAGCATCAAACTGAGTTCTTGTGGATGTCCTAGAGTCATTGTGAGGGCACACATTAAACATTATAAGGTAAAGTCATTGTGAGGGTACATAAAACCATTGCAAGCATTACAGTAAGTTGTTGTTAACATCACACAAAGTCATTATGAGGGTATTGAAGTCACTGTGAAGGTCATATAGTCAGTTTTAAGGCACACAGAATAATTGCTTAGGCACACAGAGGCATAAGGGCACAGAAGTGATCATGGTGTCACAAGATGTCATTGTAAATGTCATACAGACTCATTTTGAGGGTATACAAAATCACTTTAAAGGTCACCTTCATTGTGAGCATGCACAAACTTATGGCCACACAGAATCATTGCAAAGACACAGAGTCGCCTGAGGTTACACAAGTCATTGTGAATGGAATACAATGTCGTTGTTACATTCACAAAGAGTCATAAAAGTGGACTCACAATGTCATGTTGATTGCACATAAGGCATTTTGAGGGCCACAAAGAGAAGCTGTGATGATCACATAGTCAGTTTGAGGGCAACAAAACAAAATTTGTGAGGGTATACAAAGAAAGTCATTGTGGAGATCAGATAGTTGGTGTAAAGGTCAAAGAGGGTCACTGTGAAGATTATTAGTCATCACGAATGTCAGAGTCGTTGTGAAGGTTGTAAACCATCATTGTGAAGGTCACAGAGTCTTATGAGGTCGCAGAGAGTCATGGTGAGAGTACACAAAAACACGGTGAAGGTTCGACATAGTTGTTCAGGTCACATAAAGTCACTGTGAGCATCCAAAAGTCATTGTGAATGTACATCACACTAAGGCAAGAACACAAAAAGTCATTGTGAGGGCTACAAAGAACTATTGTTAAAGTCACACACAGTATTTTGAAGGTCATTGTGAGAGCACAGAGAATCATTGTCAGGGCACACAAAATGAACATGAAAGTTATTCACAGTTATTGTGAAGATGAAAGAATTATTATGAGGGCACACAACATTACTGTGAGGGTACAGAAGTCATTGTGAGAGTATACACACTGCCATTATGAAAGTCACAAGGTTATTGTGAGGCCACACATACTCATTGTGAGGTCACATAAAGTCATTGTGAAGGCATATGACATCATTCTGAACATCACAGTCATTGTTATGGTCACACAGAACCAATATAAATGTTACAAAGGCTTGGTAGTAGGGCACACTAGTCATTGTGAGAGTCACAAAGAGTTATTGTGATGGTCACATAGGGTCTCTGTGAGTATACAAAGCCATTGTGTGAGCACACAGAGGCATTATGATGGTATATTGTGAAAGCACAAGATGTCATTGTGAAAATCATACTGTCACTGATGATCACAGAGTCATTGTGAAGGGACACAAAACCATTGTTGACCATTGTTGAGGTTACACTAAGGCTTTGTGGAGGTACACAGTGTCATTATGCGGGCACACAAGTTATGATGAGGGCACAGACTCATTATGAGTTTCCCAAAGTATCACTGTGAAGGCACTCTGAGTCACTATGAGGACACACACAAGTCATTGTGAAAGACAGGGTAATTGTGGAGGTCAATAGAGTCCTCGTGAAGGCACACGACCATTTGTGAAGGCATATGGTCATTTTGAAGGCTCGG